GTTTCATGGTTCATGTTTCATGGTTAAGTTACTGCTTGAAATGACTATATTTTTTTTATCACATGATTTATTTCCAGATATGACTATTAATACAACTATAGTTGATGTCTATAAATTATAATGTTGTAAAAAAAAAAACAACCATGGCAGTGTATACACGTCTTCCTGCCAGGGTTTATCTGACCTTGACTTCATTTCCATGGATCATTTATAATTAGGGATGTCAACAAGTACTCAAGTACTGGAGTATCGCTCGGTAGTACCGAGTATCGAAATTCCAAAATGATACTCGACTAATCGGTTTCTTGTTAGAATGTTGTTGCCCTCTTAAAGAAAAAATATTTTTATTAAAAGCGCCTCCTGGGAAATTGAATATTAATCGAAATAAATCAAAATCAAAATATGTTCCAAATGTTTGCATTCAATTGTCATTTAAAATTCCTCCAAACAGAGGTAGGCTATGAAAAATAACACCTTTTCCAAGGCTTTCACTTTTGGCTAATCGTGTTAAAGTCATTACACTGCCTCTGTACCGTCAGAGCAAATATTTTCATCAGCAGGACTTTTAGTTACGTAACAAAGTTGAGAAATCGATTCGTCCCAGAAAAGGTTAACAAGATGATATTTCTAAATAAGAAATAATTCGTTGTACCCTATGTAAACCCTCAGAAAATGGTTAAAGACATCAGTAAGTTCTAATCATCACCCCTTTGTTGATCATTAAATGTGTTTTTTTTACGATTCCCAAATACTGTTGTTTGAGTAATCATTTTTCTATAGATGTTTATTAATTAATTGATTAGATTATTGCCAGTTTACATAATTAGTACATGTAGTAAATGAGCTATTAATTATGGTATAAAATTCCTCAGAATATTATCTAGTCAAGACAAGACAAGACAAGACAAGACAAGACAAGACAAATACTTTATTAAAGTCTCACCTTATGTACATAAATATAAAACATAGATATATATTAAATGGAAACAACAGCCTATTATACACAAGCCATTCTAAAAAGAGTTACTAGAGACTAATTAAAAACTAGTCCTAGGTAAAAATAATGTTGAGGGTTTTACGTCCATAAGACAACGACCCATAATACGTATATTTTTCTGTTTCCATTTTGTTAATGTTTTCCGAGCGAGTACTCGAGTATCACTCGGTAAATCCAATGAGTACTCGATTAGTAAATCTTCACCGAGTTGACATCCCTATTTATAATGTTATGTTTATGTTATACATGATTGATTGATTGTTGATGTTTAACAACACTTTAAGCACTAATTTCTATTTTCAAGGCAACCATTTTTATATTGAAGGAGGAAGCCAGAGTACGCTAAAAAAAAAAAACAACTGACATATTCAACAAGAAAAATGTCAATCCTAGTCAATAATCAAGATAGCAGTCAAAATGTGCCTGCCACTTACAGGGTTCAATTCACAGCTTGAGTGTTGACAGGCTATTGATACAGTAGTTGAACTACTTATACCAGTCGTATGTGATACCTGTAGTAAGACCTTGATATGAAAGACATTTAACATAAAATTCAATCGTAAAGCAGGCTAGACATTTTATTGTGTGCACTCTTGTTTTTTATTTACAGGCAAAGAAATTGTTGTTCCACTGCAGTCTGTGATAAAAATAAAGTAAGTTTATATTTGAGTGCACCTGGGCCTGTATGGCAGTGACATCTATAGCCACACTTGGCTTCATTTGTCATTGTCAGTCATCTTTAACACAAAAAGTCATATATTCGACCACAGCTGATAATGGAAAGGATGATTTAAAAAAAAAAATGAATGCATAAAAAATTTATGTGATAATAAAAAAATGTTGCAAGGTTGAGGTGTTATAAGTTTTTAATAACTTTTAAAATTTTGCAATAAAATGAAATCGAATGGTGAAAGAAGAAAGAAAAACAGTTAGTCTATAAATGTGGATACTTAGAAACATGAGAAGCCATCAGATATTTGAAAATGCATAGAAATACCTATAAAGAATAAGACATTCTGTTTTATAGATTTACAGTTGACCAGTTATTGTTTGAGAAGAAGTTAATTGTTGATATGTCCATGTCTATTTGTTTGGATGTGAACACAGAGTGTCAATTCAGCTTTGACATCTTGGTACAACAGAAATTTCCGCAACCGCTTTGTGATCTAGACATGGGTGGATGGAATGGCGATACAAGTATGTCTATTATTAGTTTATTTTCCCCTTAAAACATGCAAAGTATCAGAAAAATATAATATTTATTTGTATGAATTTAAGAACCAGGACAAAAGTTTCATATTTTTCGTCATGAAAGTTCACTAGTGAATAAAGGAAATGTGGTATCCAAATATCCATCCATGACACAAAATCAGTACCTTCACATCAAAAAACATAAAAAATAAAATGAACAGCACTATTATTACCAATGTCACAATGAGGCCTTCAATACAGAGCCAAAAAACATCACCTCATTGCAAGTTTAAGACGGCCCCTAGCACCAATTTGAGCAAAATTCTTTGCAAACTGATGATCACTCCATAACTGAATTGAAGAACAAATCCATGGAGTAAGCATTTTCTGTCATAATTTAGCCAGACAATCACTCTGAAGCATTAAGAAAACAATACAAACATTAAGTCAACCACTGTGGCACATCTAGATATTTGTTAGATGACTCAGAAGAAAATATATTGGTTTTATCCTGCATTTTTAATCCCCAATAGTTTTCTTTGATTTTTAAAGAAATTGACAAGTGTAGTGATAATGACACCACATCAAAATTTGATGAAAATAGTAATTTTAATATTTCTTTTTGCTCAAAATAGTAATTTGAATATTTCTTTTTGCTCAAAATAGTAATTTAAATATTTCTTTTTGCTTAAAATAGTAATTTAAATATTTCTTTTTGCTTAAAATAGTAATTTAAATATTTCTTTTTGCTCAAAATAGTAATTTAAATATTTCTTTTTGCTTAAAATAGTAGCAAGATATAAGGTGTTGATATTTGTGTACAATACAAATAAAGCACCCTTTAATTTGTCTACCTGTTATTTGTGCATTAGTTGGTTGATTGCAGGATAAAATTAAATAGTCAGCTTATATCAGCTGTGTATGAGGCCTGAGCTTACAGAGTAATCAGAATAAAGAAACCCAGAATGTATTACCAAAGTGAATAGAAAATCAAAGTACTGTCATACTGTGTACACTGTCAAAGTCAGTCAATAAATCAATGCATAAACAAACATTTATGAGTACTATTTATTAATATAGATTGTCAAATTCAACCTGTACTACATATATTGATATATTATTATACCCCATGCAACGAGTTGCGGAGGGTATAATGTTTTTGACCCGTCCGTCCGTCCGTCCGTCCGTCTGTCCGTCCGTCCATCTGTCCGTCTGTCCGTCCTTCAGTCCGTCAGTCCTATTTCTTGTCATCGCAACTCCTCTCAAACCACACAACAGAATTTCACGAAACCTTTTTAGATAATAAGGACATACTATGTAGTTGTGCATATCGACAGGAAATTACGATTCAATTTTTTTTCCAGGAGTTACGCCCCTTTGAACTTATCTACTTTAATGTACTACTGCAACCTTTTGTCATCGCAACTCCTCTCAAACCACACAACAGAATTTCATGAAACCTTTTCAGATAATAAGGACATACAACGTAGATGTGCATATTGACAGGAAATTACATTCCAATTTTTTTTCCAGGAGTTACGCCCCTTTGAACTTATTTGCCCAATATACTACTGCAACCTTTTGTCATCGCAACTCCTCTCAAACCACACAACAGAATTTCATGAAACTGTGTAGATAATAAGGACATACTACGTAGATGTGCATATCGACAGGAAATTACGATTCAATTTTTTTCCAGGAGTTACGCCCCTTTGAACTTATTTGCCCAATATACTACTGCAACCTTTTGTCATCGCAACTCCTCTCAAACCACACAACAGAATTTCATGAAACTGTGTAGATAATAAGGACATACTATGTAGATGTGCATATTGACAGGAAATTATGATTCAATTTTTTTTTCTGATACAATTTTTTTTTTTCTTACACTTATTTTATTTCTCCAATGGTGGGGACGTGGGGTATGTGAGTGCGCTCACTAAGGTTCTTTAATTAACAGTAGACCATGGGTTTTATCTTTACAAAAATAACAATATACAACTTTTGATCATAGCATTCTATCATATGCATTGAGTACTCCACCTGTGCTGCTCAAAGATCTCTAATAATAATGGCAGGTTGATAGGAATATTTTTGCATGTAATTTTTTTTTTATAAATGTAAAAATTATTTTGATTTTAGACTCTCTGGTTGACTGGGTCAAGGACAAAGGATTAGAAGCAGGACAGTCGTTGTCCACAGCTCTTGCCAACAAATTATTTGATGATTTTGGACTAACACAGTTCTTAAACAGCCCTTCTTGTGACAGATTTGAGGGAATTTACTCAAATACTGTAGATGGTTGGAATGCTGGAGGTAGAATGAGAAAATTATAGTTTAAATTGAAGAACGTACATTTTTTTGGTCAAGGGTGTCTTATGATACAATTTAGATTAAGATTCTTAAGAAAAAACTTATATTTAAAACTTATTGTCACTATACAAACCTTCCAGTTTCCTGTACAGATAAAAATGACTCTCAATAATAAGTATAGAAAATGATCTAAGCTCAAAAGGCATTGCAGAAAACAGTAGTAATATGTTTCTGAAAGTAGTATGGTATTCATTGAAAAAAAAAATGGCACTGTTGAAAAACATAAATCTTTCCTGGACAATGAAGTTGGAAAAGGGTCATCATGTGTTAATTTGAGAAAGGAATCTTCAGTAATCTAAACTTTTAGATAAATAAGGGTACATTTCTTATCATTATAGCTAAATTAGAGGGATATATACACAAATGAATATGGTAAAAGTATTGTTTTAGACGGCAACCCAACAACATGATATTCTTTTATTTATAGCTTGTCCAAAATCTGCCGATATGACTTTACCAAAGATCAGGGGAACAGTCAGTTGTTATGTACCAGATTATTGTACGGGTATTGATTGTTGTGTGGATGTAGGAAAGATCGGCAAATCGTTCCGTATTTATGCCTTGTTAGATGCTTGTAACTGGAAGCTGAGTATCGGTATCGAGAGACGAGCCTTTAATTTCACCATTATAGATTATGAATGGGGTATGTTTGTGAAAAATTATGATGCACAAAAGTAACCATTTGGTTGAAGGGGGTTCAGAAATAGAATGGTAGGTCATTTGATCAATAAATAAAATAATATGTTTGCTAATACAAAAAGGTAAACAGAATAACCTAAAACTAATTTAGGTTCTTGGCAGATCAAAAGATTAAACCTCATATTTTTTTCTGAGTACTGTGAATCACAAAAATTAAATGCAATAATTTTTTAATGTACAGTAGTGGTATTTTGGATTCATTATTTTACAGTAAAATCAATGATTCTTATCCATTTATTATTTTTAAGAATTGGCATTTGAGTAACTTTCAAGTATTGTAGTCTGTATTTGGGAAATATGAATGTGTTCATCAGTGGTATTTGAAAAATAATGTTAAAATTGATTTTTGATACAAGAAATGAATGCTATGAAATACAAGAGTTATGGTACTTGAGAAAAAACTATTTTTCTAACACTTTTGTCGAAACTACAGCACTGATATAATTTGTTTTCAGGCTACAGATTATAGTCTGGGTTCAGATTCTCTCGAACTATGTGTCCCAAGGTTGATGCCACCAGACAGGGTCATAGAGATTTTGATAAAGTTGTAATTAAAATTTTACTTATATTTTCAGGTGAGAAAAAGACCATGTCAATATTACAAGTCCTCAAAATGGAGTAGGTTTACTTTATGATCCATATTCTCTTGCTTGTAAAGGTTTTACATGCTTGTACTCTTTTCTACAAAATTTGATACTGAACTAATAACTTCCGATTGATTGATTGCTGTTTGCTTATCATCTTGTGTCAAATAATTCATGTATATTTAGAACGAGAAAAAATTAACCACAAATCCAATAGGTAGGTTTTTCAAATTGGGTCGACAGGGACGAAGGGTGAGAAATTTGGACTTCCAATGGAAAATTGGGGTTGGTAAGTAAACAAATTCAAAATTTTGCCTTGCAACAGGTCAACTTACAGCCATACAACCTTTGCCTTCAATAACTATGTTAATGTTACTGCTTGTTTTAAGTTTTCACTTACTTATAAAGGATATACAATGTCTTTGAGCATTTGGCATACATGTTTAAAACAATTAAGTCTTCTTTATCCTGTTTAAGTTTCTCCTTGGCCAAAGATTTCTGTATTTTGTTAATTGAAATATTTAAGAAATATTTCATGCCAGCCAAAGATTTGTTGGAATTTTTGACATGGCCTAGCTGAGCCCTTGTATTCAAATGCTATCCTGAGTATAAGCGTTAGTCCACTGTTGGTAAATACAGTCAATATAAAAGTTCAATTTTGAACTTTATATTTTGTAGGTATATCATTTATGACTTGCAGGCTGAGAAGAAATACATGTTGAATATGAACTTAAGTGTATGTTTTGAGGAAAGTGGGCCATGTCTTGTTTCTATACCAGTATTTGAAAATACCAAACTCCCTAAACTGGGATGTGATTGGACACAAACAAACCTTGGTGAGTACCAAACTTCCTTAACTGAGGTGTGATTGGACACAAACAAACCTTGGTGAGATATAAGTTAATGTCTTTCATTCATAAGAGTTACACCCCCTTTTTTCCCCCTAAACAAAAATAAGTTGATACCTTGGATTCATTATTATGAGTCGGATACAAATTTTCGTTGACTTCGTGGGTATAGGTGAACCTCAAATTTCCAAGTTCGACGAGGTACAAATGTTCTATAGGCTTGCATGCAGACTAGCAAAACAACGAAATCAAATATCCATGAAAATAAATTTTTTCTCAACCCACAAAAATTGGTAACCATGAAATGGTTACCAGCAATAGTCTGTTAAATTAATTCATAATTTGTTCAGGGGCAATTTAGTTGACAGGGTGTGGAATAAGCTCTGGCCGATGACAAGTGAAGTTACTGCAGGCTAAGTTCAGCTTAGAACTAGCTTGCCTGTTGGGCTACTTCAATATATGAGAAAAACAACATAATTTTTAAATTCACTTTTATTCACTGAAAATATATTGCCAGTTATAAACTAATCATGTCAATTTTTGATACCATTTCTTTGATTTGTTTCATTTACCATCATTTGGCGTCTGTCGTCGTCCGTCGTTGTCTGTCGTCGTCCGTCATCGTCTGTCTGGTGTAAACTATTTCAAACATCTTCTCCTCTGAAACTACTGAACCAATTCCTACCAAACTTAAGCTGAATGATGCTTAGGGTATCTAGAATAAAGTTTGTGTTTTATTTACTGTTTCGTCAAATAACATGGCCGCCATGGCTAAAAATAGAACATAGGGGTAAAATGCAATTTTTGGCTTATATCTCAAAAACCAAAGCATTTAGAGCAAATCTGACATGGGGTTAAATTGTTTATTAATTTAGGTGAAGTTCTATCAGCCCTGAAATTTTCAGTTGAATCTGATAACCCCATTGTTGGGTTGCTGCCACAAAATTGGTAATTTTAAGGAAATCTTGCAGTTTTTGGTTATTATCTTAAATATTATTAATGATACAGATGAATTGTGAACAGCAAAAATGTTCAGCAAGGTAAGATCTACAAATAAGTTCATATGATCAAAATTGTCAATTGACCCCTTAAGGAGTTATTGCCCTTTAAGGACAATTTTACACAATTTGTTTATCATGTTTTCTAACTTTAAAAAATCTTCTTCTCTGAAACTACTGAACCAATTCCAACCAAACTTAAGCTGAATGATTCTAAGGGTATCTAGAATAAAGTTTGTGTTTTATTTTCTGTTGCGTAAAAAAATATGGCCGCCATGGCTAAAAATACGTAGGGTAAAATGCAATTTTTGGCTTATATCTCAAAAACGAAAGCATTTAGAGCTAATCTGATGAGAGGTAAAAATGTTAATTAGGCCAAACTCTGTCAGCCCTGAAATTTTCAGATGAATCTAACAACCCATTGTTGGATTGCTGCCACTTAATTGGTAATTTTAAGGAAATTTTGCAGATTTTGGTTATTATCTTGAATATTATTAATGATAAAGATAAACTGTAAACAGCAAAAATGTTCAGCAAAGTAAGATCTACAAATAAGTTCGATGACCAAAATTGTCAATTGTCCCCCTTAAGGAGTTATTGCCCTTTAAAATCAATTTTTCACAATTTTTTCATTTAGTTTTCTTACTTTAAAATATCTTCTCCTTTGAAACTGCTGAATCAATTTCAGCCAAACTTGGGCTGAATGAGTTTCAGAGTATCTAGTATAAATTTTGTATTTTATTTTCTTGTATGTCAAGAAACATAGCCACTATGGCTAAAATGAAACATAGGGGTAAAATGCATTTCTTTGATTTTGAAGACAATATGACAGATACAAAGAACATTTCAATGGAAGTTTTAAGCCATTCATTAATATATATTGAAAAGCAAAAATAATCATTGATGAAAGATTTAAGCAAAAAATTACAGGTGAGTGATTCAGGCTCTTGAGAGCCTCTTGTTAAGAAGCTGCCATATACGCCATTGCATAGGAATAGAGAAAAATAAGAGTAAAGAAGTCCTGAATTTGATAAAACCAAGCATGAAATGAGCAACAAAGCAACTTGAGATTGTTGTACAGTCTTTAATGACTTGCTGTGGTACAGCTTAGTAGGACATTTTCCCTACTCTTTTGGCAAATCATGAAAGATAACATAAGGAATAGTGAATTCTAAAGCTGACTTGTCCATCTGTACAGTTAGATGATTGCTCATTTCTACCCCTGGATTGTCATATTGTGTAGACACTTGATGTCTGTTTTGAAATCCATTATTTTTGTGGAAAGGTTGCTGTCGCATTGATATTTACAACACATCTTTTTGCTAACAGTTTTAATAAGCCTGTACTAGTACTGTTATTGAATGAAAGGACATATTGAAACTACTTTCAATTTTTTCAGATTTCTCATTAAGTGATTTTAAAGCTCAGTATGATATTAGTGGAGCTGTAGAGGGACTACTTCGTGACAAGATGCTGGAAGCTCTGGGAATGACACCATATCTGAAGACTCCATCTTGTAGCAGGACAGCAGCGCCATTTGCTGGGTCGGTAAATGGATGGACTAACAGTGTGTATATTTTGAATATCGTTTGATGCAAACAAACTGAAGTTTAACTAGGAACATCATATATGTTTTGAAGGAAGCTCAATGGATTGATTCAAAGAAATGATTTCTTTTTCTTTAATTTCTGTGTATCTTACACGAACGTGCATCGTGTTCAAACCATTTAGTCAATAATATTTAAAAAAATAAAAAACAAACATAGTATTTTTTAAGCTTTCTGTTTAAAGTAGAATGGCTGACGCCATAAATTACTATGACTTAACTTCCACATTTTATTTGGTCTTAATACAATACTATATTTAAACCAAAAGAACAAACTTGTTTATACTGTGTAAATTCAAAAGCACTTGAACATGAAACATCAGCTTATCAATCATTAAGTGTGTTACATTTTTGATTCAGCCATGCTGGATCTATGCGATCACTCTGGTTTTGGAGATGGTGCAGAATACTAAGTTGAAGACATATCATGAAACTAATTATGTGTTTTTATGACTTGCAGAAACTTTCTACACCATTTTAATCCAAGGCTTCCAAAACGGTTATATATTCCGGACATTTGTATAATGTCCGGTAAAAGTCCGGCTGGGCAAAGCACGAAACGGTCATCTACTTTTTAGATTTCAAGGCTTTCTTAAGAGACGGTCATTTTAGCATAATTCGCGATCTTTTTGACCCAACCTTTTGCCTTTAACAGCCACACACTTCCGGTCATAAAAGTGACATGATCATTAAGTACTATTAAAACAACCCCTACTTTAATACCTTCTCATTTTAATCAAGGCTAATTAGTTGTCGAACAGCTGAAATTTACCTGTTCAGGTGACAGGTAAACTATTTTGAACCTGACAGCGATCGGTCTATTCAAAGTTATTTTCTTACATTTCACCGGTTTGCATCTAATTAATTTAGTCAAAAAGATTTAAATTAACAGAAATACATTTACAAATAAGATTTGATGAAAAAATTAAAGAGGTGAAAACGAAAAATCGTCATAACCACGTTGTTTGAACCAGAGACATGTTTCTGTTTGAACTAGTACACGTGTGTGCATGTGCATGTGCGCAGGTGTGAAATTTAATTATGCATCCAAATTTCTTTAAAAAATGCTTAAATTGTCATTGATACCTTTATCTCACGTTTATTTCGAATATTTTCCTGAAGAAATAACTTAGAATGAGCTACTTACACTCATTCATGCTTTGCAAATGTACACAGAATTTACGTATCCGTCTCTTGTCCATGGTTTACCATTGTCAAGATAACATCCGGTTTCAGATTTAAAAACGAAAGTAAAGTTTTTGACAACGTTATTTTGCACAAATAAAGAGTCTAAGGCAGATATAAGTACGCTGATGTTGCACACTTCGGATGATGCACTGCCAATTTAACAGTTTACGTCAGAACTTCGAATTTGAATCAAAGAAAGTTTAATATCGTTTTTTTTAAATATCAATCATTGGGATGGCCAACTCGGCAACTGATTACCATAATTGCCTTTTGTTTATTTAGTCTTAAGGGATTAAAATCGGGATAATATATAAAATGTCCGGCTGGCTGAAAATAATTTTGGAAGCCCTGTTTTAATCATCAACTGCAAACTTTTGACATGTTATTTGCCCTTAAATTAAGAAAAGATTGGTCGAATAGTGACTTTATTTTAGATATACACTTGCATATAGTTCCTTTCTAAATCAAAATTTATGATGATTTACTATTTATGAATTAATTTGAAAAAGTATTTGTACATCAATTAAATCAGTTGATAAGAATTTTGAAAGTATTATATTAGTATCTTGTGCTTCAATGAAATGTAGGTCAACATGTGTATTAATATATCTAAGTTGATTCCCACACTTTTTTGAAATGGTATTACTCCAATTCTTTCCATAGGCAAGTAAGAGTCAGAATGATTATTAACTGTCATGATTTTCAAATACGTATTTATTAGATACAACCCCAGGCTTAATTCAAAACAGTTAATATCTCATAACCTGTTACATAATTAAATAGACACAAATTATTACACACCTAACTGAATACACACATTCTTGACCTCAATAGTAAACCTACAAATGTATTATTAATTTTGATCTACACTACATTAAGATATTCTGTTAATTTTGCTAGCTAGCTGAATGATTAATCTGATGTGTTTTTTTTTCAAAGAAAATACTTAAAATGAAAAGAATATGTATTAAAAAAATGCAAGCAAATTTTATTTTACTTGTAAAATCAGTGCCATTATCATCTGACATAAGTCAATAATCAAGTTCTAATTAATTAGTTAACAATTATCAGAAATAAGGTTGAAATATTAAACAAAATTGCATAACTCTTATCTGAGCATTTTCTGCAATAAAATTTATTTATTTGTTTTACATTTGTATCCCATTATATTGCTATTTAACAATAATTGGAAATATCTCAGCATTAGGTATTTGTACATTCAGATTTGAATACAGGAAATGTATTTTTTCTTAATGAAGAACGAACACCAATTTAGATCAAAAATAGTTATTATTTTTTTTTTATTTTTGTTGCTGAGAAAGTGCATTTATAAGGGCTCTTTCTGGAAATTATTAAACCTGTCATTATTAATGGCATATAAAAATTATATTACTTGTTTGACGATTTTCCTTTCCATTCTTGTCAAAAATAAAATCTGACAGAGTCTAAAATTGAAAGATCAGTATATATATATCTATATTTGCATCAATATTGCGACATTCCCTACCTTTGGACAATAACATAGAAATTTTACAGTAAGATTGGAAATGAAAAGAGAAAAAAATTTAGAAAAAAATATGGTCAGAAAGAATATGAGACTAGCTATGAATATGGCTGGATCACAACATCAACGATGCTTTGATTATTTTCAGAGTGCAATTTGACCTTGCCAGTAGAGTTACCAGCAATAAGTTCTGATATGCCACTGACTTGTAGCCTGATGGACACATGTACTGGTGTCACATGCTGTTTATATATTGCTGACTTAGATATCTCGGTTAATTTTTACATCAGTTTGGATGCTTGTAATTATGAATTTTTAGCTGGAATAGAGAATTTACCATACAATAAGAAATTATTGGACTATGATTTTGGGACAGAGGAAATTATAAGTCTGTCAGATGTTATTCGCTTGACGTGAGTTTTTTTATAAGAATGAATTCACACTATGCATTTTAAAATCATTTATTATATTTTCTTATATCAATATTATATTAATTGATTCTAGAAGTGGGGCTGTATTGCAATCACCTTGTCTGTCTGTTTGTCAGGCAGTCTGTTTGTGCAACAAGTATTTATCACTTAAAAACTACTGAACAGAAGGACTTCATATTTGGTCAGCAGCTCAGCAGTAATGATTTGTAAAGTGAGATTTTCAGATCTGTAAGACACTAACTTCCAAGTACGAGTGGGGATATGCTTAGCACAACAATGCATGCATTCTTGTTCATGAGACCATGTCACTAAACACACGTGCACTTGACATAACAAAAAAAGGAACAGTGCTTCTATTGCCGTCTTAATATTCATTGCAGAAAACCTGAAAATGAATACTTCATGATATTTAGTGCATTCTATATATGTTAGTAACTATCTGATTTTACTGTATTTCCTAGTGTCTTTTTATCCTCATATATATGTCTTTACTCACAGGTTCAGAATAGATGATCTGAAGACAGAAAAGATGTTTCTGTTGAATGCTGGAGTCTCATTATGTCTTGATAATAAGCAGGGATGCATTCTTACAGTGGAGCTTTTGACAGATATACTGCTACCAAAACCTTTGTGTAATCTGGAAACTAAATTCACACTACCTAGTAAGTATTTAAATGGTTTATTTGAAAGAAGTTAAATTTATATGACTAAGTTCAAAGGGAGAAGTTTTTCATTTGCTTTAGGTAATCCCCCCCTCCCCCCCCCCCCCCCCCCCCCCTGGATGTATTGTAAATTCAGACATTTCTTAATGTTTTGTTTTCTCTCTCTCTCTTGATCAAAGAAGTATTTATTGTGATTTTCCAAGGGAATAACATTTATTGCAAAATTACTTCCATGTAAAAAATGAAACTAGAATACAGTCTGTTTATTTCACTGTTTTGATTAATAATTGATATTCTTTTTCAGACATATCAGCATCTGACTTCCTAAAAAGTCAAGTAGTAGACACAGTTCTGGATGCTATGCCAGAATTTGTCTCTGATCTGTTCATAGAAGCCACTGGTGTTAAACAATACATGGAAGATCCATCTTGTAGCAGGAGTAGTGCCCCTTACTCTCCATCAACAGACGGATGGAATAAAGGTCAGTTCTGTGCAGGCAGAAGATTGATTAGAGACTCAAGTCTGAGCTCAGTCTTAAAACAAGCTGTTTTGAGGGGCTTGATAGAGATATTGAAATGACAGACTTTTTTTATCCTACAGAGAAGAAAGTTTTAAGTTTAATCTTTGACCTAATATTTTCTAATGGTCATATTATTGTGTGGTATGTATAAGTTTATGACACAAATTTTTGTAAAATCTTGAAAAAACCCAAAGCAATATGTCTACACAGGACTACAGTATACCTTCTAATTTTCGTGATTTTCACAATTTGAAAAATGAGTTAATATAATTTGTTGCAAATATTTAAAACTTTGAACTTCTCTTATATAATTCATCAACAAAATTAAAAAATTGTGAAGATTAATTGCTGTGGAGTTAGCTAGAAAGGGCTAAAGGCCAAATAAAGTATCAAAGCTGGTTTACAATATTTAAATGAGTGAATATTTACTGGTGTTTGACCTGTGGCTGTGACGATCCACCCAAAGTATATATTGCAGTGAATATTCCAAAAAGAGACAGATTTCCTGTTTCAAATAATTTCTAAATGAGATACATGGAAGAAAATGACCACACATGGAAATTCATGCTAAAATAGTTCTATAGGTATAAGTAATATACAATATAATTATAATTTCAGATTGTCCATTGAACCTGACAGTACCAAAGATACCAAATGACATCCCTGTTACATGTAACATACC